TGAATTTTCAGTCAACGTGAACCCAAGTGCGGAGGAGAAGAAGAAGAAAGAGAATAATCTAGTTTAAAAATTGAAGTGTGGCTAGTGTTAAATATTTATTTATTTATTTGTTATAATAAATAAAACTTTTTGAATATTAATATTCAAATAGCAAAATATAATGTGTTTACAAAAATGCATTTAATTAAGGAAATTATTATTCAAAGTTACTAAAAAAAATCCTTTTTTGTTTTTGTGTCGTTATATGAACTGAAGCTGCGTTGCTAATTTAGTTTGATTCGTGGGATTTTTAATATAAAAAAAAAATAAACAAAAACTTAAAATTAGAAGAGATTATGGAAAAAAGTGTATCTCACTGACTGAGGAACCGAAAAAAATGAATATGGAGTCAAACAGAATAGATGAAAGTCCCCAACACAATTCCTCCCGCGCACGGTTAGGAACAATGTTGTTATACTACATTTTAATTGTTTTCTTTGTCAACATGGAAGACCCCATTATTTCATTGAAGCACATATGAAACCATGAAAATGCGTTTAATATAATTGATAAAATTTATGAAAAAGAAAAAAAATATATAAACTATTATTTTGTTTAAACTACGCATTTTTATTAATTCTACGTTTTAAGGCATTGTTGCAGATAAACCTTGACCTTGACTCTATATTTTTGAAATCATATTTTGCATCCCTCACAATTTAGATTTCTAGCATAGAATTAATTCCAAGGACTTTACTAATAGCATTTTTTACTAGAAGAGTATATTTCAGTGATTAATTATTTAAATTATTACAATAAGTGATGGCACTCCAATTGGAGGTCTGGGCGCCATACAAATAAAAACAATGGACATTAATAAAAAATAGTACCCAATATAATATACATAAAATCATTAAACAAAATTGAGTTATAATTGGACAAAACCCTAAAAAAAGTATATGTGCTTTAGGTATTAAAATTTGTAGTGTCTGAGATGAGTTATTATTTCTGGTATATTAGAAACTATACTCAACTATACCAACTATAAGTGTATTAACTCCCTTTTAATTTGATGGATTAAAAATCTTTCAAGGATTAAACACATTTTATATTGAAGGATTATAGGAGTTAAATAACACTCCTTTTAATGTAATGGATTAAAAATCTTTAAAGTTGAAAAATTAAAAATTTTGCAAATTGAAGGATTAAACACATTTTAGATTGGAGGATTATAAATCTTTTAAATTAAAATTTGAAGTAATCAAATAATTTATATACTTTATTTTTCCTGTCTGTAAGTTCCTATAGTTTAATTGGTCTATTTTGTTTGTCATTTATTATAGTCTATTTTATCCATCATGAATGTCTAATAAAAGGCATCTTTGTATGAATAGAGTATTTGTTTATAAAAATGATTTTCCATTGTGTTTATTATTAGTATCTCTTGTTTAAAATTAGGTAGAGTACAAAAAATACAGATATTCCTCTATATGTGGTGGGAACATATCACCAAACTAATTGCGTGCCTTAGTTCTTTTCTAAATTTATGCAAGTAAATTAAAATTTGTAAATAATTAATACATAAGTAGTATGAAATTGTACTAAAAAAAAGAAAAAAGTCAGAAACTGGATTGCATCTTTTGATTTAAGAAGTTCAGATAAAGTGGATCAACAGCAATAACAATCTCATATATGTACATTAAAATTTAAGTATTCTTAATACCAATTTCAACCATTCTAAAATCTTATAAGTAACATGTTAGAATTTTTTTAAAAATATGTTTAGCACATTTCAATTGTCTAAGCACATTAATATTTTTATTCAATATATTATCTTAATTAACAAATGAATTGTCACTGAAATTAACGGCCTGAATAACCAGCTTCCTAACTGTACAGTTTTAAACCAATATATTTTTTCTTAGTTTGGTTCCGGTTTTTCACTTCGTCAAAAATATCAATTTTTTTAGGTATTTAATTCAATTTTATTAAGTTTTATTAATAAAATTGAAATATAATCTTTAATTACTTTAAAAAAAGTATATATTTTTTTATATATATGAAACATTTCATAGGGCAACATCACATGTATGTATGTAGTTGTAAAACTTTCGAAGTTTCTAATACTAGAGATCTGTAATATATATTCTTAATAAATATTTTGAATACTCAAGAGGGTAACAACATCTATACATATAAAATGTATACGATAAAATAGGTGTAAAGCTTTTGCTGTTTTTTTTATATTAGAGATCTAGCGATTGTTAAGTAGTTTTATTAAAAAAGAATAATCACCTAAATAACATAATTAGTTATGTGTATATAAGTATAAACATCTACACTAACAATACCAGAAGAACGCGCTCATTAATGACTTCAGCTTTAAGTGTTTGTCTCTTCACATTCAAAACTCTTTAAAAAAAATGTTAATAACATGTGCAAGGTTTAACATAAAAAGCAGCAGGTCAAGATTAAATAAATGATGCCTTCATCTGTATAATTTTCTTAAATGTGTACTTCTTTAAATATATACTGACATATACGTATATATTCATATGGATAGCTTTTTATTACAATCGCTAAACAAATTTATTTATTTTTTATTTTCAGTATTAGAGCAATATGCCACCAAACGCAGTACCCAACTCACAATCTATAACAGATTCCTTGGCTGCAACTGTAGCCGCAAATGGAAACCCAAAGAATTTACACGAATCGTCGACTGGTAAGTGGAACTCACACTATTTTACCTTCTAAGCGTAACCTGTTATTCGATGTGTTCTTTTTTTTTTGTATACGCTAGGCGTTCTTTTCGAATATGACGCCGAAACTATTGATGGTGGTTTGGTCAAAGACATTGAAAAGTTAAAAAAAGCAGAAAAACGAAAACTGAAGTTAGTTTGGCGAAATATAATTGCCTTTGGGTATCTACATCTCGCAGCTTTGTACGGAGCTTGGTTGTTAATCACGTCAGCCAAATGGCAAACTATTGGTTTTGGTAAGCGAAAAATTAACTACAATTTTGTTTTCTAGTTGTACGCTTAAAATTGTAAATAATTATAAATTAACAAAATCTTGTAAAAATATTCATGATGATATTTTCTATGTCGCAGTTGTGATTGTTGTCATTTACACCTTGTCTTATATAGAAAATTTTAATTTGTATATGATATCTGTATGTATATTAAAAACGCTACCTCACCATTATAAAATCTTTTGAAATTATAAAATTTGAACTCTTTAGGTTAGTTTCGACAAACATATTTTCGCGAACCCATGGCGATAACCTAACTGCATGCAGACACTTAAAATGTGCCTTTATGTCTCTTTTTGCTATTAAGTTCGAGTTCAAACAATTTAGCCAGAGATAAGATTGATTTAAATTTTATATTTCTTTTGTTTTCATATTCTTTTCTTT